CCCCAAAACCCCAAAACCCCAAAACCCCGTTTATTGGAAATGTAGTTATTTTGGAATATATTTAATTACTTTGTCATAATTAATTTAATTTATAAGATATTTATTAAGAATCCTTGTAATATTATAATTATAATAATATGTTCAAGTGGATATTTTTACCACTAATTTCTACAGTGGGACTGGTAGCTTCCATAGCTTCCCCAGAATGCAGATTTGCTAAGGACTATGACTAGCAAAAGCTTTTGACAGATGACTAATACCTTGAGCAGTTCCTAAATCAGTCCATGCACTTTGAAGCAAGATTCGTGAGAGAACTAGGAGTTGATTAGAAATCAGGACTAACATACGATGGCCAGCAACTAGATGTCAAAACTGGACTGCCTTTCGGTGATCCACACCTCTTTACAGCCTCATCGAAGGAGTCTATACATGTGGCTCTCCTTGGTAAGGTTCTCGAGGGAAATCCCTTGGCTCTTAATTTCTACACTCCTCAAGAAGCTCTGGAAATGCTAAAGAAAAAGATCTCAACTTATGAGGAGTTTGATAAAAAATATCCAGGCTATGGAGGTTTCTTGCCTTGGCTAGCTGTTAAGCCTACTGGTGTTGAGCCTACTTGGGATTGGACAACTGCTGTGCCATCTTTGGATAATGGGCAGTTGTTTTGGGCTGCTTATGGATTAGTTTAAGTCCTTCATGACAAGCATCCCCATGAGAGAGATCTTATCAAAAGATGGAACGCTTTCTACAATAAAATGGCTAAGAACTCGATCAAGATATTCTACGAGAAGGGTGGAAAGATCAGAGCTGTAAGCTAGATTCAAGATATTAGACAACCAGTAGAAAAAAACACTTATAAGCTTAAAGATGGGTCTGTTTGCGATTTCAATAACAACTGCTATTTAGATGATCCATATGAAGGTGAGTTATTCGCCTTCATGATGTATTTCTTCGGTCACTTCCAAAGCACTTAAGAGAAAGAGCAAATGTGGAAGACTAAAAGATTAAAATTGCAAAAAGTAGATTATTTAGTGAAAGAACTAAACTAAAACATCACTGTTTAGAAGGGCTGGTGGTTTTCAGCACATGAGACATGGAAGTATCTCTTCCTCCCATATATAAACATTGATGTTACTAGAGATCTATTGATCAATGGAGAAAAGGTCAGAACTTGGGATGCCAGGCAAAACAATCTCCCAGGAATGTTTGCATCAATTAATGGTAATATCTCTAAGAATACTGATCAAATGCAATACTATTCAGCTTGTGGCATACAAGAAGTCGCCTATTAAACTGTGTAAAATAGACAATTAATCACACCTTACTCAACTATGGGGCTTTTCTTGGCTGATAAGAAAGTAGCTGCAGCTTGGTATCATAACATGCTCAGCAGCCCAGCTGGGTAAACAGCTTACGGATCTACAGAGGCAACACTCATTGATGGCTCCTAGGTATCTCCTCTACTAACTTGGGATTCAAAGATCACTACTGTGGTTGCTATGCTTGGAGGATTTTACGATGCTGTTAGCAGAGGTCTAGAGAAAGAAGGAGTATTAAAAGTTTTCCAAAAGAAAGTTTAGAAAGAATGGTCTTTATAATTCCCAAAAATCGAAGGATAAGATTTACCCTTCGCCCTTCCAAACATTACTGTTTCCCAAGGTAGAGATGACTTTGTCACTTGTAGACATAAGAAGTTTGGGGATGACTTTAAATGGGGAACTGCTACTGCATCTTACTAAGTTGAGGGAGGTTGGAACGAAGGAGGAAGATCTAGAAGCATATGGGACGATTTCGTAGAGATTCCAGGTAGAATCGATAACGGAGACACAGGCTAGGTAGCAGATGATTTTTACCACAAGTATCCACAAGATGTAGCTATGATGCAAAAGCTTGGAATTAAGAACTTTAGAATGTCCTTCTCCTGGTCTAGACTTTTACCTCAGGGCTCTTCAGATAAATTCAATCAACAGGGAGTGGATTTCTACAACAATGTAATTGATGCACTTCTAGCAGCTGGTATCGAGCCTTGGGTTACTCTATATCACTGGGATCTACCAAAGGTCTATAATGATCAGACAGATCAAGGTGGCTGGTTAAACAGAAATATGATTGATAGATTCAATGACTATGCTGACTTCTGCTTCAAAACATTTGGATCTAAGGTAAAGAAGTGGATCACCTTTAATGAGCCTTAATCATTTACCTGGCTAGCCTATGGTCTTGGAATTCATGCTCCAGGTAGATGCAGTTCTTACTAGGCAGATCATTGCTTGAAAGATGGAGGCGGTGGCAACACTTAAACTGAACCTTATATTACATCTCATATTGTGATTCTTGCTCATGCTAAAGCAGTTCAGACATATAAATAAGTTTACCAGGCAACCTAGAAAGGAGAGATTGGAATGGATGTTGCTTCTGCTTTTTATCTTCCTTCTGACTAAGACAATTAAGATGATATTGATGCTTGTGATACCAAGATGACCTTTGAATATGGATTCTATGTCGACCCATTGGTATTTGGGGATTATCCAGACAAGATGAAGAACCTAATATCTGACAATAGGTTGCTCACATTTACAGATGATGAGAAGAAGATGATCAAGGGCTCATTCGACTTCCTTGGAGTTAATCATTACTATTCGAAGTATATTCAATACACAGGCAAGGTAGGTAGAGACTATGGAGACGATCCAAGAGCTGAGTAAAATGATTACAACAAGACAGGCCACTTGATTGGGCCATATGCCGACTCAAATTGGTTGACTATCTATCCAGAGGGCTTCAGAGGACTTCTTAACTGGATAGACAAAAGATACAGCCACCCTAAGATATATGTGTTTGAAAATGGTGTCAGTGTCCCAGGGGAAAGTAAGGCGCCACTTCTAACAGCCTTAAAAGATCAATTTAGAATCAACTACTACAAAGACTACATTCTCAACATGGAAAAAGCCATATCCGAGGATGGTGTAGATGTGAGAGGTTACTTCGCTTGGGCATTGATGGATAACTTTGAGTGGACTAATGGTCTTGGAGTTAGATTTGGAATGGTTTATGTTGATTACCAAAATAGTTAAACCAGATATGTCAAGAATTCAGGCTTGTGGTATTCATAGTTGATTTAGAGTAATACTATTCCTGATTATAATCCTAACTTGAAATTTATCGAGGAGGCTAAGATAGATTTCATTTAGTGAGATATTAAATTGAAGAATAATCAAATCAAATAAAAAATATTTGAATCATTTCTATGTATTATAAATTTTAGCATCAAGGGGTTTTGGGGTTTTGGGG